CCTATTGCAATAAAACGGCAATTTCATACTTTAACCCCTAATATTTATATGAATACACTTTAGGTTAGTACAGTTATATTATGGAATATTATTAACAATTTTTTTTTATATTAATGCAATATTTTAATTGTATAATGTCGGTTAGTTCATTATTTATGATAGCCATTTATGTGTATAAAGTAAGTTAGGTTATTGTTGTGTAGGTATTTACCAGGGTGTATTTTAATAAGATGTAAGGAGTTTTTTTATATCGTCCTTGGATCGTAGCGTTATAATCTTTCCATTATCTTATTTGCTTGCGACTTTCTTTACTATCTCTCGAGTTTGATGTGTGTTTAGTTCAAACAGCTCTGCGTTCTTCTTTTGGAGGTCCTTCACAGTTGTCTTAAACTCTTGAATGATTCTTTCGAGTTCTTCCATTTGGTCGGAGTGATATTGAAGAGATCCTGACAGTTCCGCTAGCCGTTTTCCTAACAGTTTTCTCCATCTCTTTCGAAATGTCTTTTAATAATTGTTTGACGTCAATTTGGAGGGGCAGTTTATCATCAGCTTCATCTTCCTCGTTCTCTTCATTAGGAATGATGACCGAATTACTTTTTGGTGTTGTTTCTTCGCACTCTTCACACATCCACTGCAGGTTACTAGATGAAGACCTACCCTTTGTTTGGTGCTCAAGCCTGAGCGCTCAGAGTTGAGATGTACGATCTTTTCACACCTACGGCATTTCACTCTTGAACATTGTTTGGTGATATTTTTTTCGCACTTATCACATTTACCCATAGTGAGGGTGGAATGTATTGTTTAATTTATTTTTTGTTTTCCGTTAGTAGCCGAGCGTCACGTCTATTCGCGCAGACGGCCGGACGAAAAGTAGAAATCTTCGAAGAGGTCTGAAGCCTTCTCCTACAGGCGCCGTCCTCACCAGTGTTGTCAGAACCCTTGAGTCGAATCTTACGTTTTGCTTAAAGTTACATTTGTGCTGAAAAAAATCACAAAAAATTTTCGTTTTTTTTTTAAATTAGGTAGAACCTTTTTATTGACGGGGGGGAAATCTTTACAGATACCCCTGAGCACAGGGAGACTCAGGGATTATGTGGGGACTCTCCGTCCAGACTGGAGGGCCTGCCCAACGGTTTAGCTCTCGCCGGTTGAGTCGGCGCCGTGGGATCGGTGAACATTCACCACGACGCCGCCCTAGCTTGCGCTAGGGCTACCGCGCCAAACTTACATGGAACCTTAGAATAATAACGCATAGAAACCTAGCCCGCATTAACGTACTACTAAAACTAGCCTACATGAATTTGATTTTTGCCTCACTTGTGACAGTTCGTTTGATATGAAACTATCATTCTATGCGTTATTATTCTAGGGATAGAACCTAACTAACGCCTCTGTCGCTGAATATCATGGGCAAAAGATCATGTTCGCAAAACATGATATTCGCTAGACCCTTAGGTACCAATACATATTAATTTCATTTTTAGGTTAACGCGTTAGTGGCGTGTTCAAGCCATAATTATAATTGGTCCACTTTGTATTCGAGAATAATCTGTTTTATTTTCGCGTATTAAGCTTGCTTTACTGAAATTCCTAGGAAATCCACATAGACCCTGAAGATGACATAGACAAAATCTCAACGAAATGCTTCAACGGTATCCGAGCGTGTGTGGTGGGTGCACAAGGCCCTAGTCAAGGGTATCACATGTACGGTGCCCCAGGGACCTACCGTGTGTTGCTGATCGGCCCTCGGGGATCCGGCAGGAAAACGCAGGGCCGGATGTTGGCTCTACACTTTGGAATTGTTTATGGTATTTGTTACTACACTACTTCTACTATATACTTTGTCCTGAAATTTTAGCAGAAGAGGTTACCTAAATATCAACGGTACAAGCCCGATATGCTGGCGTGTTTGTTGGATCGTTGAAATCAGCTAGTCTTTTTGCAGTCATAATTTATTAGATGACTTTGTCTGACAAATGAACAAAGTCATTGCTCCCTAAGATACACGTTCGTCTGCCCTGGTAGTGTGTGACCGGAGCGTTCGTCCTGCGCACAGTTAGCGTGTCTTAGTAGCGGTCTAGTTGAGGGCCTGAGGCGAGGAGACGCGTGAGTTACCCTTTAAGTCGGTGGACATTGTCGCAGGACACTGCCACTTGGCATCTCTGGCACTAGCACGGAGAGCTAGCAGAGGATGAGCTAGACATCTTCCGGTCCCTCCGGCCGCGTAGGAATCTGGGAACTGGAGAGACGCCGTTCATTCGGCGTCGGGAAGTGAGCGTGCCTTACAGCTCCGCCACCAATGAGGAGATTTAGTAGTCGGCTTAGAGTCGGTGGCTCAGCGATGGCAACCGTTAGTCGTGCGGGGCGCGACGGGAAGTGAGCGTGCTTACACCTCCGGTATCTACCTACCTATCTGGAAAATAGGGAGGGTGCTGTACGTGCACCCGGGGCGGCTCACCTAAGGCACTAGCCTTACAGAGAACCGGATGAAGTACGTGCAAACGTGCTGATCCGGGGTTAGGACCTGACTTAGATGGTCCATTCGCGACTGAGCTCGCACAGGTCACAGTGCCCTTCCCGCATAACCAAGAAGTTGATAGGAATGGGCACTATAAACAAAACTTATGTAGAAAGATATGGTAAGCCCCCTAAGATAATAATTTATAACTACCTTAGGGAAAATTCCTTCAATCCGGCCGGATTCGAACCGACGTCTCCTGGCAAACCGTGCTAGACGCTATGCCAACTAATCCACGGAATGAACTTTCGTAACGAACGATCTTAGTATTAATAATTATAACAAACTAGTAGAGTAATTTCACAAAAAATAATTGAAATCAATTCAATAAAAAATTGTATGCTTTTATTTTTGCGATATACCTATTACTTGTGCCTCTGGATATACATATATGTCTGTGCTCGTGCCATTAAAACCTAGTGGGTAACGAAGGATAAAATTATGCAAGAAGTTAGTTTAAATTTGGCAGTTACTCTATTTTGGTGGAAACATTGCTGATCATATTCTGTTCTCAGTGGATTTCTGGGAACTACTCATGGAAGCAAAGGAGAGAAATGATGAGATAGGAGAAAAACTGCGTCTTTATGGGCCAAGTGTTCGGCTCAAGATCGATATTGTATGCCGTAGGATTATGCAAAAGGTAAAAGTAACAAGTTCCAAAAACCGGTAAGTGCATAATTAGACAACTAATTAAAAAATTACGTTTATTTCGTCGTTATGGTCTGATTGCTTGCTCCAACCAGAGCACGAGGAAAGAAAGCTAAATATTGCTCTTTATAATGCTAAAATCTATACCCGAAGAGCTGTCATGGATGTCGCTTATCAACCGGGTTCAAGAGTTTTTCACTTGCGTTTTTCGCTTGCTTGCGTTGGCTGCATACACAGCGTAGAAATTTGCCTTCCGCGCAAAGGCGTAGGCGTTCTCGAGTTTTCCGCTTTGCATTGCGGAGAAACTTGCGCCCATGCGCGGCGCGTTTCGTTTGTTTGGGTTGTCGACACTCTCGAACCAGCTGCTGCTCTGTTTTTTTAAAATTATTGCTGGCCATGGAAACAAAGTCCTTCAGCCGAAAACATAAACGTTTAATTATATTTCTGTAAATATGGCCACCACAAAGAGGATAGGCTATTTGAGGCGGCGTGCTTGG